TGACTGCATGGATGGGCATGTTTGTTGTCAGTACTTGATGCTGGCAAAGGCTGCTTGCTTTCCTCCCCTGTGTCAGAGCTTAGAGATAGTAACTCCTTGCAGTGGGCTGCACCATGTATGTAAATGGCTTTTTATCTGTTCTCTCTGTGTGACATCTCCCACGATAAACACCCCCATACCGACTGTGCTAGGATGGCTCTTGCAGTTTGATTAAATGCTGCATGTGTATGAATATCAGTGGATTATACTGGATTTTTCTTCAGGGCCCTGAGCCTCACTTTGCACTTAAGGGGATGGTGGCTCTGAAATGCACACTTGTTAAAATTTGTTTTCAGTTAAGGGGAATGACTACAAATTTAGAGGTGGATAAAATTGAGACAGATCTAAGAAGAATATTTGTAGGCTATTTGTTCTAGCTGTAGCACTGGATACTTGTGGTTTGTTTTTTTTCTACAGAGGGAGTTAATGTCCTCTTTTCCCCTTCATTCATTGCATAGCGACAGGGTTGGAAGATAGAAGCATTGAAATAATAGGAAAACAACCCATGATATAAAGGCAGAGACTTCATAGATGGACTTGGGACGAAATCTATTATATCTGGATGATGTCCAAGGTGTACGTCAGAAGAAAGGAGAGAACGCAGAACGGGCGTTAGTTAAAAGCAGCAAAATGATTGTCAACCCTGTCCCACACACACTGTCATTTTGAAGTAAATCCAGTCCTCCTGCTCTGCTCTGGTCCAGATTTTCAGAGGTGGAGGGTACTAACATGTTCCACCAAGATACAGGTTTTTGAGGGAACGTGGTGTGCGCATCTGACTTGGGAGAAGGCAGGAGTGGGGAGCCACCTCCCGAGCTTGAAGCAGTGAGGCATCTTCTCTTCCCAGCCCACTGAACTGACTGCTCATGTCTGGCTCAAATGTAAGACATGAGATAGGGAAACTCCTAGCAGAGTAACCAAGGGGACAAAACAAATGTTGAACATTAGAAGTAAATAAAGCTAAGACTGCCTAGGAACGTCAGGCTCCTCCAGCATGAGTGCCTGTACTGTAAACCTGGCTGCCTGTTCCTGCCTCACAGCAGTTTGTTGCCAAGACTCCTGAAATGAGCAGTGCTGAGGTGCTGTGCCTCCTGGGACTGCAGGAACCCAGGCAAGTGTGGCTCCAGGTGTGCATGGTGGCTCCTCATGTGGGGCAGAATCCTTTGCCACGTGCTGTAGCGGTCGAAACAGATTCCTTGGAAAGGCTGTCTGGACAGCTGAACTCTCTTCTTCTTTTATCACCTCTGTGCATCTGTGTCAGGAACACATACTCTTTGTTGTCAGTGGTGTTGGATCATGACACAAGAAAGAGTTTTAGTAGTACAGAACCCAGGGTTTTTTCCTTTCTTTGGAAAAGAGGGTGATCTTGTGGTTAAGAGTCTCTTGTGCCTTGCCAAGAGCTTGCTGTGTGTCCACGAGAAGATTGCGTGTGCTCAGATTTTCCAAGAGAGGCCTCAGATTTTCCAGCTTTGTTTCAGTATCATTTTCCAGTTGTTTTTTTGTTGTTTTTTCCCCCCTCCCTCTCAAAACTGCTCCTTATTGAAAGCTTCACTTGAAGTACCAGATGCCTAGAAATTATCAGATTCAGTGCCAGGGTTTCACTGAATAGAAGCACCCAAAATCTGTAGCTGTCTTTGGAAATATAGGCCTTAGTTTTTCTCTTTGCTTATTCCTACCAGAGGGACTGTATGTCCTCTCTTCATAAAGTGTTTGAAAGGCACCGTAGGAGTGTGCAGTGGCACTGTGTGTTCGAGCAGCATGACAAAGATGCCCTGCATGTGTAGGAATTGTATTTTCCTTGGGGGTGTTGTCCTGAAAGTCATCAGAATGAGAGGGACACCCACATATGGAAAAACTGTCCTGTCAGCTGGTAAATTAAGAATAATATGGCCATACTGCTGTTGGTTGGCTTCAGTTAAAGAAGGTGTTGACATTTTGCAGGTATGTCACTGGAGCGCTCAACCAACTCAATTGCCTCACGTGCTCGACTGTGTGAAAGGGAGGAGGAAGTCATGGCTTGTTTTGAGAGAGCGTGTGTCATTGCCCAGGTGTACTTGCAGGAGCTTGAGAAGGTAAGAAGAAATGTGCTTAGGGTGTTGCCTGGTGGCCTGGGTGGAATTTTCAGGGGTTTGATAGCAAAAATGAAAAAATAATGGGGAAATGTCATGTGGTAGACAGTGATCATAGACAGTATGAGAACAAGCTGGAAGGAGTGAGATGTCTTGGTAGAATCAGCTGCAGAACAGCAGTTTACCTGTGGTAAAACACCAAATGCTTCAGATATGCTCAGGTTGTATCTCAAGTTTAGCTTGTACTAAGGAGGGACTGCAAACTTGCATGGCAAGTGCTGGCATCAATGTGTATCATTTACCTGCTGTATAAATGATATACAGTAGTGGATATAGAGATCCCTAACAAGCTGAAAGAAACCTTTTTGGGTCAGCCATAGCAGTTTAATTGCTGGTGCTTCACCTTCTTCAAGTGAACCAGGAGGAATCTAGATCATTTAGAACCTACGTTCTCCATCCCTGGAAGTGTTCAAGGCTAGGCTGATTGGGCCTCTGATCAACCTGATTTAGTGGAAGGTGTCACTGCCCGTGGCAGGGGGGTTGGAGTTAGGTGATCTTTAAGGTCCCCTCCATCCCAAGCCATTGTATGATTAGTATCAAGTAACTGCTTAGTCAGTGGTTGGCTGGGCTGCTGAGCAAGATGAGTACTGTGAACCCTCCACTGAGCCGTGCAGGTAACATGAGCCGCTGATTTGCCGGGTACATGCTTAGAGGTCTCTGACTCTGCAGTTTTGCCAAGCTGATTTTACAGGACATATCATACGCTTCCATGCCGTTCCTTTGCCACATGTTATGCTTGACATCAGCTGTATTGAGAGCAATGCATGTTATCTGTTCTCTAACTTAAAGGCCTTTGGCCTTCTGAACAGATATTTCTGCTCTTCTCAGTAGCAAAGGTGTGTTTCTTTTTCAGGTTTTGTTTTTAACTGCATCGAAACGAGAAAAAAATGAGCTTAGTGCATGTATAAAAATTCATTTAAAAAGCCAGCTATCAAATTGTCTGGTCTTGTTTCTTTGCAGGAAAAAAATGAATAGCTTTTTTATTTCAAAATAAGTAATGTCCTTCCATTATTGGAAGGATGAGTTCTTGCCGGTATGGGACGCTAAATTTTTTTACTGACAGCTTGGTTCTGCAAAGAAGTGAAACCGTTTGAACTGTAATTCATTCACTTAGAGTCATAGAATCAGTAAGGTTGGAAAAGACCTCTGAGATTACCAAGGTTCGTGATTAACCTAACACTGCCATGGTTCACCTCTAAACCATGTCCCCAGGTGTCATGACCATATGCCTTTTGAACACATCCAGGGGTGGTGATTCCACCAGTTCCCTGGAAAGCCTGTTCCAATGTCTAACCACCCTTTCAATGAAGAAATTTATCCTAATATCCAGTCTAAACCTCCTGTGGCACAACTCGAGGCCATTTCCTCTTATCCTGTCACTTGTTACCTGGGAGGAGACCAACCCCAACGTCGCTACAATCTCCTTTCATGTGATTGTCTTCTAGACATGGAGACGAGGGTGCAGGAGTACTGATAGATGTAAAAGTTCATAGTCCTTCTCTAGTCCTAGATGTAAAACCCTGCTTTGGAGAGTTCACACAGGGCAACTTTAAGCAAGGAAAGCTGCTTGTTACTATTAAGGAAGCAAAAGCTAGAAGGATTTGATAGGAGAAACAGGAAAGGGTAAGATTCTTCCATCAGTATTCCTGATGGCTTACTAACTCTTTACAAATATTTATGTTACATAAAACTAGATATACCTACTCAAACATTGCGTTAATATTTCTGGGCAAGATGCTGGATCTCTGTAGTTTGAGTAGTACTTCTGAAGCTGTTGGTGTTAATGTGTGGCTTTGTACTTACTTTATTAAAGGTTGGAAAATAATAAGTGATGGTGTTTCAAAACTCTTATCACATGCAGAATATATCATGGAAGTCATTGTGTAGTTTATTTTAAAATTGACTTTGAAAGGTTTTTGAATATTTAATGGAGGAAAGTTTTCAAGTAATCTGAAAGGAATCTGATGGCGGAAGCTAATGTTTTATTGTTGTAGATGTCACTGGCTCATGAGGACCTGACTAGTTCAAACAGTTGTCTGTAATCCCAGATGTTTCTTTCCTCCCCTCACAGACCTTAAACAACACACATTCAAGAAGTATGAAGGGCAGCAACATGACTTACTCCGAGTTTGAACTTTCCTACTTTCTGGAAGCAGCTCTACAGAGTGCCTACGTGACTCATTTAAAGAAGGGGTAGGTGAATGCAGATGTTAATAAAAATAGATAATACTGCACGTTTTGTGTCAGAACAGATGTAGGCTTATTTTTTTCTTATATATTCTGTTATGACTTCTTTGCTGCTGACTCACCTGAAGCTCCCTCAGCGTTCTTCCCTGTTCTCCTCCCTTAAGAGTCCTAAGCCTCTTTTCTCCAGATCCACAGGTAGGGTGGAGTAGAACAATTTTCTTGTCTTGCCTCAGCTTTGCTCCCTGTGGAGATGAGGGGAGTTAGACCGTAAAGAGAGAGTGGAATTTACACGGCTGTGTGCTCTTAAAATGTGCAGCCACAGGGCCTGATTTAGAGTTCAGTGAAGTCTTACAGGTAGTTTCTTTCATTTATTTGTGTGGTTGTTTAAGTTCTTAAATGACCCAATCAATACCCCAAATCTGTATGGTTTTACTGTGGAGAATACATGCAGGAACAGTGTTGCTCTGTGGTATTTATTATGCATCTGAAATACATCTTCCAGTGAACTTCAGAAGGGCAAGAGGAGTTGGTATCTGCAAGCCTACGATGAATTTCACCTGTGGAAAACCTTCTCAAGAACAGCAGAAAAGACGTAGTAAATTGCCACTTCCAAAAGGCCATCAGTTGAGGGTATGCTGTTCCCTAAACCGGGCCATGCATTCAAAACATAATCAGCTCTGGTTATCTGATGGAGAAATTGTCATGTGGGAGAGTGTCTCTTCCATATGTGTTGTTGTGAGAGTCCATCCTTTCCTAGTCCTGTTCTTGCACCATAATATCCCATTTATTCTTAAGGAATCAGATACTGAATTTTTTATGGCAAACTATCTTTGCAAGTATTTAATTTTGGCTTTTTTTACCTGCTGAGTAAAATGGAGAAGAAAGCAAAAAATGAGAAAAGATTGAAAGATTGAGAACAAAGAAAAAAAAATCCCAGCAAAAATCAATTTAAATTCTTCTGTAGAAAATTGGTACCATTTTTTGATTCTGTTGGAGGAAGGTTGCTTCTTGTTTAGGGATTTTTTGCTACTTTTTTATCCTCCAGGAATTACTTTAAGTACAGCTGTGAATAACCACTGTTTCTCATTCTTTCATTAAAAGCCTGCACATACAGTGAAGCTGTACCCTTAAGCTATCCATGAGAGGTGCCTTCAGGTAAGCCTTGTATAACCTGGAGGCTGACAAAAACCCGAAGTTCTATGTTGTGAAGTGACCCCTTTAGTCAGGCAAGTACAAGTTTACGCATAAAGAAAATATGGACTTATAAAGCATAGTCTCAGTATCAGCTTGACAGCAGGGGATAGGTATGTGGTTTTCCCAGGTGAGCTGAGGGTTGACCAGCTGTGGCACAGCATGTGCTTTCCTAACCTTTTGTTGTTCTCATGGCAGACAAAAAGCTCGGGTCTTGCCGTTAAGCTCATTAACTATGTAATAAAATAAAATCTCATTTAGAACATATGGCACTGATGTCCTCTAGGCACCTTTTGAATATCAAACTCACTCATGTTCATTTTAATCAGCACATTTTAAATTCAGTCTTCATCAGTTCAATATATCTAGTGGGATGTTTTAGCTACTACTGTGGGCCCTGCTTGCTCCGTTCCCGTGTTATTTTAATGATAGCCTTAAAAAAACCCAACAAATTCCCCCTCAGAAAAACCCTGAACAAAAACAACCCTCAAAAAAACCTACAGGAAAGCAATTTGAAGCAAAATACAGATGTGAATTATGCAGGGCTTTGATTATAAATTGAATTGCTGCAATAGCAGCAAAATGTTCTCTGTAGCTGTCTCCTGATGAAAGAGCATCCCAGTCAGCGCAATGGAGCTTCTGTGGCTGGGATGGGAATGAAATCCCACGTGTTCATCACCTCCTGCAGTGCAAGTGAGAAGCACCAGCCAGGGATGGAAGATTCGGTGGGATAAAAAGCCTGGTGGGACACCACAGCTTGTCTTTGCCACCACAGCTGATACTGATGTGTAGTTTCTGCCACGAGAGGGCATAAGCAGCACTGGGATATATTAAGAAAAGAGGATGGAAGTAGGAAGAAGCTTTTAAGGATGCTTCATGAGTATAATAAATTTCTCTAACCGATATTGAATAGCTCAAAAGAAATGCTTTTGTCCTCCTTATTGCTTCCAACATGTTCTGGTAGGAAATAAGCCTTGGATGATGACTGCTCAAGCTGTTGGGGGGTAGGTCCTATCAGGTGGGATGTCCTTCCCCAGTGGCACGTGTGTACAAAAGGAATGGCGAGTGCTTTATTCTTGTCTCAGCAAGTAGAAGAGCTGAGGGATATAAACGGTGGTGTTATGCTTTTGTTCCTGCTGGCAGGAACAGACATTATCTTCTCGGAGCATGGTCAGGGGTGCCCTTTTCTCTTGCAGTGTGCAGTGGAAAGAAGCCACTAGGATGAAAGAAAGGTCTGGTCTGCCCTTCAGGTGTTGAGCTGCCAGCTGTAAGGACCAAAATGTCTTGCAGCTGTAGAAGTCCCAGATGCTTTTAATAAGGTGTTAACTTAAAAACATTGTGTTGCTGAAGACACATTTCCTGCAGTTGTTTAGCTTGCTACAACCCAAAAAAAGCTTTCTTTTATTCCTCCAGTGAGCAGTGTTGATACTGTAGATGCAGAATATAGGATGTCATACTGTAGGAGGCAGCCAGTTGTCTTCCATGTTAGCATATGCACTAGGTTTTGGTTGTTGGTTATTTGGTTGCTTGGGTTTTTTTCTGATGCACATATGTGAAGATTAGGCTAATTTCTTGCTGCTTTTTTTATCAGAATATTGAACAGGTATTACCACTTCTTGCTGTTATGGGGTCTTTGGTCAAGATGCTTGTAGTATTTTTAAGCATGCTTCACCTATGTGAAGTAATGGATATGTATACTGCTATCGTAATTGCAGCTGAAGTATGTATGGAGTTCCACAAGCAAGACAAAGTCAGAGCTTTCTAGAGGATGTGGTTGGTTTTGGAAGCTCTGATGGGACACTTTTGAAGAAAAAGAATTTCTGAAAAATTATTAAGCATTTATTAGAGCTCGAGTTTCCATATGATCTCTCAGTTTAGGACCTAAATTACTTGGGAAAACCCTGGCAAAAATGCCTAATAGGGAAAGCTTACATAGTTGTTTCTCTTCCCTTCTGTCAATTTTCTAGAGTGCTTAGATCCCTTTTGGAAATTTTGTAGGCTTCTGTTGCAAGGACACTTTTCAGAGTAACTTCATGTATGTGTAGTTTCACAGTAGTATCTAGTGTATAAAGACAGGTAGGACAGTCTCTGCTGGACTGTTCATCTCTTCTGAGGAATTTATGTGGGCTTTCTTGACATTTATCTCCTCTTTAGTCATCTCAATCTAGCACCTTATCCAGGACACTGCAGCTGGTAATTTGGAAGTGAGTCTTATTGTCTGCTGGATGGATCTAGATAAGTGCTAAGCTTCTGTTTTGTATTGGGCTGGGTTTTGTTTTTTTTTGAGCGTCCCTCTCTGCTAGACAGGCTGCCATTAGGAAACTAATGTGCTTTGTTGTACTTACTGGTTATGTCTTATCTTATTCATAGGAATCTGAGGCTTACCTCTTCAGGTGTGTTTTGTGTCTATGCATGAACAGCTGTTTAAGGAAAGAGTATGACTTTTTAGAAACCTGGGTGAGATGCAAAGATGCAAAAGGAGGTGGGCAGAGGAAATGGTGTTGCTGCTGTTTCTGTGCTTTGGGTACAGCTTTACCCTTGAAAGGTGACTCTGCAAACTGCCATGTAATCTTCTCAAGATGGTCTGTTCCATGTGTTAGCAGCTAATTGTTTTAGTAGTAAATCAGTGGGGATAAGAACATGATCTTCTGGTGTCTGTGTTGTTGGGAGACTGTCTTTGCAGACCTCTGTGCTCTCTGGTTTATTGTCAATACTCTTCCCCAGAAATTTGCATAGAAAACAGTGTATTTCTTTATTTCCTTTTATCTTAAAATGTTGTGTATAGTGTTAGCCAAACTATATGGCATAAATGCAGTATGACTGCATCGATTCATGAACTGTTAGTTTAATTACTCTGTATTAACAGGGTACATGTACAAACAAAACATATTTTCATGCCAGGGTGGACTGACTGGACTCTCAGGGTGCTCTTTGTCACAGTTTTGGCCATGATTGTCTGTGTTGTTCTTTATTAGATTAACTGTGATTGAATACTAAACTGCATTTCATCATGGTTTTTCTGAATGGCGCTCTGGCCACTTCTGTGGCTAAACCAAAGCAGTTTAATGATCATGTGCTTTTCCCTTCTTGTTCTTCCTCATTTCTATTTCTGGCATCTTAGCATTACAATAGGGGCCTATGGACTCTTCTAGCTCATTTAATTTCCATGATCTGATGTTCACTAATGCCATGGCTTGAGGCAGCAGTACCTGAGATTTCCAGGTAGTCCTCTATCCAGGTTCTGCAGAGGCTCAAGATTTTCTAGTTTCTGAACTACATAAGATCAGATGGATTTACCAGGAGTTGCCAGAGGTTTTGTGTTTGAATCCTCATTCACTCATCTATGTACATGTATTTCTGTTCAAATAAATACTTTTTGTTAACCTCTTCAGGCCCTAATTAAAAAAATTCTCTTCAAGTGCACAGCTAGTATATAAAGGACATCCATTAATGGGACAGTAAGTTCCTTATTATAAGTAGAGCAATTCATTTGCTAAAAATGAAATGTATGCTCAGATGGTCTCCTGGCTTGGAACAGTTAAATGTAAAGACAAACTCCTGTAGTGAGGTATGTTTGCAGAATGCTGGCAGATGTGCTCTGTCTCCTGTCATGGCTCAATAATGTTCGATACAGTTCAAAATATAGAAGCTGCCACACTAAATCCTCAGTCCTGTAGAACTGATATTGTTGTCAGATGCTCTGCATGTTTTGGAATTGGGAACTCAGAGGATGGAGTGGTTGCTCTTTGATGGAACCTGACTACACGAGCATCTGTCTAGGAGGTGGTGAGTGCTGAGTGCTCCTCCTGCGCTGCCCATTTTGCTCTCCTAGCTTTTGTTGAAAGCATTCCTAGGCATTTGTCGTGTGCTTCATGGTTTCAACCCTGGCAATTTGCTATTTATTCTTTCATTCACTTCAATGTGTCGATATTCCTTCCTTTTCTTCTTCCCTTCCCTCCAGAGCAAGGTGTTTCTACCATGAAGCTTAACTTGGTTTGTGGCCTTGTCTAAAAAGTGGAACTGTAATGGCAGTCTAGTTCTCTGGGAATGAAAATGTCTCTTTTTATCACATTCTGTAGGTTTTTCATCTCTTTAGTATGTGCCAAATGTGAAATTAATTGGCTTTGCAAGTGATCACTAATCTTCTTTCTCATAGTAGTTAGTGCAATTCATAGGCACTTTATTAAGACAAATACCATTATGCTAACAAGAAATTTGAACATATGCATTTTTGAAAATGTTGTAAAACTCTTATACACCATAACTCTTCTGTCCAGCCTCTTAAGGAGCCCATGGATGCAGGGGAAATACTGGTAGTTTTCAATAACCAAGGAGAGCAGTTGGGAAGGTGTATTTTTTTGATATGGGGGAATTGATTGATTTTGTCTAATAGTAAATACCATGTGAGTAGTTCCGTTGGATTTGGTGTTACTACTCGTGCATAAATAACACCACACGACTTATTGCTTTCCTCGGTTTAATGTCCAGAACTGCACCTTTGTGGGTATATTCTATTCTAGACCCGCTAAAAAGCGCATGGTATCTTGACCCTGTAATTGGGGAGCATGCTGAAGCATTAAAGTCCTACTTAAAAAAACTTCCTTGAGCTTTTTCCTCTTGATAATTTCAAAGCACATGTTTTACTTAGGAGAAAGTGAACGGAAAAAAAGAAAGACAACATCTGACTTTCTCTATAGGGTTAAGTCTCCGGTGTTTTTGCTCTTGCCTTACTTTCTTACTGGTATGTACCTTGCCCACAAGTAGGTAATCTACAGACTACCTCAGTTTAAAATTGAGAGGAGTATTGAAGTAAGGCCACTTGCATTTGGATTCTGTGACTTGATGACCACAAGCTTTAGGGTGGCATTTTGTGTAGGCAAGATTCACGGTAAACGTGATCATTTTTTATCCCCCTGCCTCCCAAAATAATCACCTTTTATTTTCATCAAATGTTTGCCACTGATTCTGGAGTGCAGGAAGGTTTGCAGTACATGAAAGTAGGCACAAATGCAGTCTGTACTGCTTACCTTCAAAATTTAATCAGTTTGACAGAAAAGATTGTTATGGCTTTTTTTAAATGAAATTTAACTTTCTTCTGCACAGAAAATTCTCCTGGATAAGCTGAAGTGGCAGTTAATGTACCAGTACAACTGCTTATTTTGTTTTCTTGTCCAACATTGCTCCTTTTCTGATAGCCTGTATTTCTTTGGGTAACTTCCACCCTGCGATGAATGTGCATTGAACCATTTTGCAGTTACTGTGGTGGTAGGGCCATGTCCTCAGCCTTGAACAGCTTATAGCCTGACAGTGTGTTAACTAGCATGTACAGTGTTTAATCTTTCCTCCTTGCATCTTCCTGAGTGCACAGATACATGATTAAGATACCATTTGGCAACCAGTCAGCTTTAATCGCTCATGGTGTATTCAGAGTAATGTGTTCTGGGGTTTTTTTAATTTTATTTTTTTTTTAGCCTAACCCTCTTATTGCAGGTTAAGCTGTGCTTGCAGACAGTTACTGCAACTTAGCTGCCTTATAATAAACTGTTTAAACCACTGTATTTTCGTCATGTGGCTGGACCATCAGACATAAGGCGTTTAAGCACCACCTAAAAGGAATCGTCATTTAAAAGCATCACGTAAGCTCAATATAATTCAAACGAGTACAATCTGTGTGAAGAGGAGATGTGGATGCTTTTAAGGAGCAGCATCTGCTTTATAAATATGAGCTATGAAAGGCTTCCAAATGTCCCCTCTGTTCATCAAATGTGAATGTGATCTTCTCTTAGAAAGCCATCTGGAGTAGGCATGCTACAGTCGCTTCCTTGCTCTGTGCCATTGTCCTGTCTGTGCCTCAGAGTGACTTGTCTCGCTACTGCACACCCAGTGTTAGTGATTCTTTCATGGGTTGTTTGAACATCAAGTTTATTGCCAAGCGTTGGCACATCATAAAAGCATTTTGTCTCCAATGTGCTGGTTTTGGGGGTTTTTCATGCTTTGGGGTTTTTTTTCTGTCTTTCCCCATAGAAATATTGTGAAAGGAATGAGGAGTCTGCGAGAAATACTACGGACTGTGGAAACAAAAGCTACTCAGACCTTCAAAATGGTAAGGGGCTGGGAGATGGGAAGGTGGGGCTGTCTGGTATGCAGGAATTCTCTCTACTGACCATTGCAGTTGCAAAAAAATGTTTGCCCTCAAGTGATTGCTATACCTTTTTTTCTCTCTCTCCTTTTTTTTTTTTTTTTTACTTTTGGAAGTGATGTGTCAAGTGATCCCCAGAGAAATAGAGATGTATTTAGTTTTACAGTGCTGTCCTCAGGTGATGTCTTGTTTTCTTTCTCAGTTTCAGTGTGTGCATGCACACCTTTCTGGATTTGCATGTGGAAACATTAATTACTTCTGGCTTTTGCAGCAAGCGAGGCTTTGTTAGACTGAAGTCCTGTAAAACCCTCTTCAATATAGTACAGAGTGATTTTAATAGTTTTAATTAGTTTTTGGTGTTGGCATTCTGCATGCATCCTTTTATTCTGAATGCCTCTGGTAAAGAAATCATGGAGAGAGTTATTTATGTGCCTGTTTAACTTCTTAAACCTGTAACGGCTTCTTCCCTGTCTCCCCTTTAAGAAATCTTGTCCTGAAGTTACTCAGGAGGTGACAAGGTCAACAGCATAGAGAATAACAGTCTTACTGAGAATGTGAATAAGAGCTCTGCAGCCCTAAAAGCACTGATATTCTTACAGCTAAACCTGTGCTTGGTTCAGCATTGTGTTTTATGTAATTTCAAGAGAAGTTCAGCAAAGGAGGGGGCCATGGGTTTGCATAGCATTTTGGAGAATATAGATGCATGTGGAAGCTTGTGCAGGGAATTAGAAGAGGTGACTTCAATAATAGTCCACTCAGATGGTTGCATCCTTTTCCAAACTGAGATCAGGGCTCAGGGGTATTTTCATGCTTGCCTGTTTTGTCATTTTGCTGAAATGAGTCTAATCTGCTCCTATATTATGACAGAATGTGGCTCAGTTACTCCTGTCCCTGTGCGACTGGGGAGAGCTGTACAATACCCCTGGGGGATTTTTCCCTAAGGGAAACTCTGAGGGTGTTCATTCAATAGTTTTTCCTGGGATTTCTATTTTACTGCAAGTTACATTTTCATTTTCTTATTTCTTTTTAAAGAGCTGTCAAAAGGGCAAAGGGAGGAACGTTCTTAATTAAACAAGTTTTTCAAGCATGAAAGTAAAACACACGATTTATTTTTTCCCTAATTTGTGGGATCACAGTGTTCTTCAAGCATAATGATGCTTTTTTTAGCCAAAGGCAGTAATAACATAAATCAGAGTCTTGGCCTGTTCTGGTTTGTTTGGTCTTATTCAAAACAAGAGTGAAGCTAATTTACACAGCTACTGTATTGTATGTTAAAATCAAAGACACTAGAAGTATTTGGTGCTTGCCTTTTGAAAGGCTTACCACAAACTGTACTCCTATTTCTGTGTGAACCAGTAGAGATCTTTCTATTGCTGGCATATTATTTTCCTTCCCCCCTAAGACTGTAGGAAAAAACTATAGGAGAGTTGACTCCTCAGGGTAAAACTGGCTGAATAATTACACATTGAGATGATAAAATGATACTGGCTAATGTTGCAGGGCCCTAGGCCATTTTGCTCATAGTTGTTTGCTATAAAAAGCATAGAAAAGCTTAGTTAGAAACAGAGGGCTTTCTGTAACTTGTCAGTAGAAGTGCATGGAAAGTCTTGGGGTTTCCAGAGAGTTGTATGTTTCTTTGAGACACGGTCATACATTCAGATCACTGCCATTTGCTGGGTACATGTGTGAAACCTCCCTTTATGCTGTTAAGAAACTGGGCACACTAGTGTGGTTGCATTTTAGATTAGTGCAGTGAATTCATGTGTGGTGGGTAAGGTGAATGAAAATCAAGAGCTTTGCGTCAAAAGAAGTTATTTTTCTGAAACCGATAACAGGAACTTTAACCTCAGTGTGATTTATTCAATCCTACTGATGTAGATTTCTAACATACCTGTCCTGGTATTTAAAAGAAAATGACTCTTGGTGGCCTTTTAACACATCTCAAAGTGTAAATTGCATATAAAATACATATGCAATAGTCAGAGAAGTTGCAAAATACTATTTACAAGTATTAGGACAGAAAGGCTGAAGTTTCAGCCTGCCTCTGTTTTGTACAGTATTTACTTTACAGCTTACAGTGGGTATTCTGCTTAGAATTCACAGAAGATACCACAACTTTTGATGTCTCTGAGCTTGTTTGTATGCTCATATATTTATAATGCAAAAAATCAGTGATTTGTTGGGTGCCAGACAAGGACAAATGCCAAAGATAGTTCTAACTTGACTTTGCAAAATTTGCCCCCTTTTGGGCCCAGTTTGCCAGTGTGTGTATGAATTGGAAAGCAAGTATTTAAAGATCCTCGGCCACTTATGGTCAAAAAAAAATGCATATGATGTCTCTGTCTCAATATAGAGTTCCTTCCTCCATTACTGCAACAGAAAGAGAGAAGCAGGACTGAGATGAACCTATAAAAGGCTGCAGGAAGAGCAGTATTAACAGATAAAAGGTTGATCTTTTAAACCTAACATAAAAGTAACCTCTGGTCTGAGACTTGCATACAAAATTCTGACCCTGAGAGTGCAGCATAGTGTCATCATACTCTAATATAGTGACTTTAGTGAGATTGTTTCAGCAGTCCATGTGGCAGGAGGTTGTCTTTGTTCACCAAAGCATCCCTTGCTGTCAGGCTTTCTTGATACTTTTTTCCCCCAACATTGCAACTAGACCATGTAAATGCAGAAGTCTGGCCTTTTCAGAGGAGGGAAGAAACTGCCACTTCTGTACACTTTAGCAGCTGATTTAGCTTCTCTGGCCTTCTGAAAAGTGGTACTGTCATGCTGGTACATCTCCTTCATAAGGTGGAACATGGGGAGGGGTGAATCTTTTGTGTTGGAGAAGGCTTCTCTGATAGATGTCTTTTTCTGTACTGTTCACTGATGTCTAGACTGCAGCTAAACAGCTCGCCCAAGTACTTCTCCATTCCCTCAGTGAAGACTGTTACTGGAGCCCTTTATCTGATCCGCTTCCTGAGTTCATGAACAAGGAATATCAGTCGTATGTTAGCAATCTTCTTTGTCGGAGGCCTGAGCTGTACACAGAAGAGAAGTAAGCGCTCATTTTTATTTCAGTTTATTGTCAGGAGGAGGGGGTTTGAACACTTGTTGGTACTGCTAATTATGTCACTGATTCATGTAGTAGTTTTGTATCTTGTTTTTTAACATCCCATCAAAAACTCTGCTGGAAAAATAAAACTTAAACTTTGAGTGTTGGATTTTTTTTTCCCCAGGAAGAAGAAAATCCAATCAAATAACTGTCTTTGCTGTGAAATTAAAGTAATCCATTTATGGTTCAGTATAGCTCATCTAAGATATATTTTAATTGTGTAAACCTGCAAAAGAAAGTATTGCCTGGCAAATGAATTATACATGAGATGTTTCAAGTTACTGCTTCTCCTGTGAAATGAGAAAGAGGCTGACAGGATAACTCTTGACCTTCCTCAGAAAAATGTGTTCTATCTTTCAGTGTGTACTGCCCTCAAGACAACGTAGAAGAGGCTCTTCTTCTCCTCTTAATCAGTGAATCTATGGTAAGCCAAAAATAAGCTTGTGATATTAATAGTGGAAAGTAATATCTGGCATTTCCACGTCAAGTCTTCTAGTTGGTTTTGTTTACAGTCTTCCCTGGATAAACAGAAGCAAAGGTTTGGATGCTGAATGGAAAATGCTATCTATTCTTTTATTAGTGAGACCATTTTTATTAAGTGGAACATGAGAGAAGGGTTTTGGGAATTGTCTAGAAGAGGAAGTGACTGCATTCATCATAGCTGCATGCAGGTTCAGACATCCAGATACATTGTCAGTAGACAGATGTTTCCATTCAAAACATCTGTGTGGATTTATGGATCAAGAATGAGAGGAAGGGAGCCTTGCCTAAAGCCAGGAATGATGGTGGTACCCACTGTCTGGCATTGCAGGATACAGTACTGTGCTTACATGCCTTAGCCTGCAGTCCTTAGCTGTTTCAGTCCTGAGTGATCTTTGACAGTTTCTGATGCTGGTGATACAGGGAATTTTGTCACATGCAAAAACATTCATGATAAACTATACTGAAATAATTAGATTCTTCTATTTATAACATTGGTGGCTTTAAAAAATCCATTTAAAAGCAGGCAAAGTGCTTGGAAAACTGCATGGTAACCTTTGATAATTTTCATGTTCTGAGAAGACACAAACATAGAAAATGTGTAAGGAATGCTTTCTGAAAATATATGAGGAATGTGTATTTTGCTTTAAATACAGTGTGGTCACTTGTAATTCAAAGTGAGATTTCAAAACCTTGGAGCATCAGTGACCCTCTTAAAAGCTTTTAAACAACTTTCAGACAAGTTGAAGAGTGCTGTGGAAACTTCTTGGATTTTGCTTCCTTCAGTTTTAATTTGTCTGGTTCTTCTGGCTCAAGTCCTTCCCTGTTGCTGCAACTTCTTCAGGACATGGCAATTTAATATTGTTTGCTTTTAAAATTTGGGGAGAAATTGAAAAAGCAGAACCACCCCAAAATATTAAGTTGACTTCATGTATCATGTACATCTGAGTATTACTGTGTGCTTTTTAATGCCTTCTAGATTAATCCTCTACAGTACATCTGCTTTGTGTTTTCAAGGACTTTTCTTCAGTTAGAAGGGCTTTTCATAATTGCAAGTGGAGTGAGGGCTTGTAGAGTATCATAGGCACTTCTATTAAAATCAAAAGGACTTGTGTCAGTGTGGCTTGTCAGGGTTGATCCAAGCAGAAGGATGAGGGTCTGGAGCATCAACAGTACTGGCTGCTCCAGCCTTTTCCGGGACTGGACTTGCAATCAGAAAGGCCTTGTAGGACCTTGAACTCTACAATCTTCTTCTGCTGAGGAGAATGAAAGTTATCCCTGTTTTATCCACTGGTGTGTAAAATGGTGAACTAACCGGTCCTTTATCTAAGTTATGGATAAAGCAGTGAAAAAATGCTATTGATAGAAACTAGACTACTGGGCTGACTTCGAGGTTAAAATAAGCTTGCGTATGCTTAAGTGAGGTCTCCAGTATATAGGAACTCTCTGGGGGTAGATGCAAGGCATTTTGATCTGCTGCATATGAAACACTTAATCAAAGATCCTGTAGTAGAGCACTGCAGGAACCATGTAACTGTCTTTCTGATTTTGGGGAAATGGAACATTAGAGTCTTCCTCTTGCATTAGCAATAGCCTTGCCATGAGTTTACTGTTCTAAATAAAATTCAGGCCAGTGTATAGAAATACACTTAGGAACCACTGGAATGTGCTTCCTAAGTGAAGAACAGAGGGAGCAATCTGATTCTTACATAAGTTTACCATCCATATTTTCCTGTAGTTTTACTATTATGGTATGAAGAAGGGAAAATTTTGTTTAATTTATGACATAAGACATGTTTTCCATAACAGCATTGCTGTAGGCTAGTGATTTTTCTCATGTACAAATGTGTCGTTTGTTTGAAATTTTGTTTTTTGGTTTTTTGTTTTGGTGGTTTTTTCGACAAAAACAAACAACTTAGTGGAGCTCATGGAATGAGTTAATAAAGAAGCAGATTTCCAGTTGAGACCTCTCCCTAATAATATAATGTTAACAACTGAATAAAATATACTTTCCTTCCTGGAAAGAGTGTCAATGGCAAGTGATAATGATATGTTTCTGTAGGCCAGTAAGCAACATAGTTGGAGTTGGTGGATTTTGGCTGGATTAGGTGTTCTCTCGGTATTTACAATTATGAGCCCCTTAAAATGAAACAGAAGTATGCAATTAAGTTGGCTTGCTGGGAGCTCTCCAGCCTCTCTGACGCTGTGTTCTGTCAGAGCAAAACTCACCAGAAAGGTACTTTGCCTGTCTGATTTTTAAAGAGACAAAGAGCAGCCGTGCTGTTGTAACTCTTTTACAGGACCATAAAGCCAAACAGCTGCTTCTCGTGCCTGTTTGTGACTTCTGCCACTCCAAAATGACTTTGAGGGGGGAAAAATTAAGGGAGGGATGGATGAAAGAATTACCAGCCTGTGGAGGGGACACAAAGCAAAGTTGTACTGGGGAGGAGCATAAATCATCAGAGAACCTCAAAGCAAATATGTCATAAATTTAATGAAAAGGAAACATGGTAGCTCTTTCAAGTAGTATATACCTTGGACACTTTTGCTGCTGAAATTCACTCTTTTTTTTCCGTTTGACTTGCCTTCCTAAGGTGAAGCTGACATCTACTTTACCAGGATCTGTGTGACTCTCTAGAAGTTGTTATGAGGAGGTAGAACTGTTCCTGTAACGGGGAAAGGGGGAAATTGCCTTGTGGCTATTGTGAGACAGACCCTATTTCTCAGCAAGCCTTCTCTGGCTCTTAGTGGTGCAGGGTTCTGACTCGTGATTTCTTCTTATCCCTTCCCCTGGCGTTGCAAGGGAGCCATGCTGCATGTTCTAGTGGGATGAAATGAGAATATATTCTAAAGGGACAGTTAAGGGTTCCTTCAGTATTTCACTCACTCTGCCTCTGAGCCTAAGTATGTGAAAGGTTTTCAGATGACAAAATAACATGGTAGCTTCTTTCATTGCTTTGAAGATGCTTCTGTGGATATAATAACACTTACAGTGAAAGCTTGTAGCCTGTTTTGTCCTGGCACTCTACTGAGTTGCCTCCTGTATTCTTTGTGTCCTGTTAAAAATGGGAGCCTTTTTCATAAACCAAGGCGTCTCAGTAAACAATGAAAATCATACTGGTTGTTGAGCTTGGCAAATGTTCCTCCTCTGTGCCAGCTGTTATTTAGTCACAGTCTTTGGCTGCAGAGTTCTCATGAAGGAATTTAGTGAAACAAATCAGGCAGCCTGAAGATTGCCACAGTTAGGGTGGTCTTTTAGGGGCAGTTGTGGCCTCCTTGCTACCATATCATTCATTTTGTATGGCCTAAGTTATGGTGTGGATGGGCTCTGTTTGTGAAAGGATGAAAATGCTCTCCTTCAGATCGAGAAGGCCAGCTGGTGACAGCCTTTACAAACTCAGGCTGTGGTAGAATGATGCATTCATATCACATACTAGAAAAAAATGGACTGGTCTATTTTTAAACCATTAGTCCTCTTTCTTACTGCATTTAACCCAGCTAAAACAGTGATAACTGTTTGTGAGGAGAACTGAGGACATATCATGACCTGCTGCAGTGTGATTTCTCTGCATTACACTACCAGTGGGAATGGTACTGGTTCCGCCATCAGGGACTCTGGTGCTTTGAACTGCAGGGGGTAGACAGAGGAGGTTTGGCATGACTAACCCCTAGCTGCAGCTTTGTTTATTTTAATAGCCGTTCTCAAGAGTATTCAGAATTGACTGCACTGCCCTTAAAGTTAACCAGAAGTTTCTCAGAGCCAGGAATGGAACACTTTCTATTGCTTTTTGTGTTTACTTTTGAGGTTAACCCCCCCAAAAAAAAACTCACCAAAAAAAAACCCAAAAGGAAAAGTTCTTAGTTTATGTAGAAACCTTCCCCTCTTGAATTTGAGGTCCAGCATACCATCTGAAATCCCTTTATTTAGTGCTGTCTCTTACAACAGGGGATTTTGGCTGATGTGATCCACCAAACATACCAGGTAACATGGATTATTTTTTTTGGCTCTGTATTCACTTTACTCATACTGGAAATGAAGCTCCTCGTATCCAAAACTAATAAATTCTGTGCCTGTGTAACAAAGATTAGAAATGTCATCCCCATCTTATCTCTGATTTGAATCCCTAAAGGCGATTTGACCTTGGAGAGCCTGAGAGCATGGAACAGATGGTGAGGGGGAAGTAAGATACTGGGACTTGTCCTGTTCTTTTTACTGGTGAGAACAAACTCATGGCTGTGAGCATGCCTTTAAGAGAATAAGATTAAACTCATGTATTTTTAAACACAGAAATAATTAAAACCTGTTAGCTCTCCATTTCCTAGTTCTATAGGAGAACAATCTTGGCAAAGGAGAATAATCTCTTGTAGCTTTTATAGGTTGTGGAGTTTCTTTGTTGTTTGTTTGTTTGTTATTTTTGAGTGGTGCCAAGACCAGTGATGATACAACAGCTAGGTGACCATCACTAATATTTTCTTGAGGGCTGTCAGATTATGGCAGCTGAAAGAGACAACTGGGGATGGGGTTGCCCCCTCCTGCCAAATCACAGTTGTGCACTTACAATAGCAAATCTGACTGTCTCTTTAACTGGTTTGCAAGGCAAAGCTAAGTGTTTGGGACCAGCAGAAATGGACTGCGGGATGTTTCTGGTGGGAAATACACTACCTCTGTTAATTGCCTCTTGAATAAGTAGTTCTAATGTGAGTTACTTGAGGCAGAGTAGAGAGCTTTTTTCTTCTGCTTTGCAGTTTGTTTCCAAACTTGCAAGGGGGATGTAAATTCTTGGAAGATAGCTCTCTAAATCCAGATTACTACAAAACAGTATCCATAAACAAACTTCCTTACTTTCTTTCTCTCTTCCCTGTGTGTAGGGTTGTTGGGTGCTTCTGGATGGGTGGGTATGTCTGTCTTGCTTTCAGTGATGTTTCCATAATTAGTTCTGTTACAGTACAAGGCATTAAAATACACCTGAAACATAAAAGATATATCTATATGGTCATATTGGTTAAGCAATAATAATAGGCTGTTTTGCTGAGACATCTGAATTGGGCACCAGTAACTTGTGGTCTGTTGCTTACCAGAAATGAGACAGATGCCATATAGTTCACAAGAGCTATGTTTTCATTCACTATGCTTCTGTCTTAAGTGGAACAAGTTGTGGTATCTCTGTGAGAGGAGTTTTGTTGAGTTCCTGGGGCCTGGTGTGTCCTCCCTGTTCAGTCGACTTCCCATTTTCACAGCAGTTTTGCGGTCAACCCTGAATATTTTCTTTGTGTATATTGGTGAAGGAAGCCTTCAGGTGCTGTGTAGAGGTGATCAATAACCAAAGCAAGAAGTCCATAGCTTCTTCCATTGCATCGGTTCTTGCCACTGTGAGGAATTAATTCATTTTGTTGGCAATACAGGCAGAACAGCCAGAACGGAGACCCAAAGGATATGGGCTAAATATTTTTCAGCTCTTAGCAGTAAAGACATCAATTGCATGATTTCAAAGGCCTGTTGTCAGTCTTACATGCATAGCATTTGTTTTTCTCTCTTAATGCTAGTATTGAATCACACCAATTACATTATTACAGTACACTGTGTAAAACATGCTGCCGTTCTGTATAGATGGGTTGCAGTGAATCTGGCAATTATGTCTATTATGGAAAGACACAAGTTAAACATTCGAATGCCCATGAATTAGGGGGCAGGCAGCAGGCACTCATTAAAGATTTTAATTGCTTTCGTTTTCTTCTTTGGAAGAAAGCAGGGGGAGCCATGTTTCAAAGTGAGCAATTAAAGGATACTTCATAGCTAATTGCTGTGAGAAGGGGCTGCTACATGGAATATCCTCTATTGTAATTCGTATGATTGCTTGACGTTTTATTAAGAAGCACATCTTTGTACTGTGGTAAAATTTAATTTTCTGCTGCGTAACTGCGTGCGTAATAACTGCTGAAGTAATGACTGTTTGGATTTGCTGTGGCTCTTTTCCTTTCTTTGCGAAATAAACATGCCATAAATAAGGGTCGTTGATATACCACAAATCCTCTGTGGATAGATGGCTTATCTAGTTTGCAGGTAAATATATTGCCTATGTGGATAGGAAGGTACATGCTGTCTGTAGCTCTGCCGGGTTGTTAGTTACATTGCAGATGCCTAGAAAGGCAGGTCTCTTCCCTGCTTTCAGAGCCAGCTTAGGTCTGAAAGTCCCATATGGTGGTATTGCTGTGGTTTGGAGCCAGACCTGAAAAGCCCTGCTAACCTCAGCTGATTCTGTGCCCTGTCAGGTTGAACACCTGAGCTGGGCGTCTGGCATGGTGCAGACACAGTGGCTGAATGCTGCTTAGCTCAGGGGTACCAGCCTGGGCTGGACCTTTTGGGGGTGTGTGGCCTGCAGATGGGTTGTGTCACTGACCTGTGGAAAGGGAGGGCTGAAGATGCTCGCTGTGCTGTGTCAGGGCTGACTATGAAATGTGTCCAGTCTCCCCAGATAGGACTGGTGTGATGTCTGACCCACTACGTGCGGAGCTAATTGTGCCTAATGCATCCCAGAATATACAAATGCGATGTGTCTCTGGGTTGCTTGATTACCGAGGAGTATCTCAAATAAAGAGGCATTGAGTGTATATTTTTGCTCTGTATAATGCAAGTAACACTAACTCCCGATGTTGGTAGCATTAGTGACCTTCTCCATCCCTCAAAAGAGTCTTGAAAAGAGGTTCTTTTGATGGTGTGACTCATCATCTCTCTCCATCCTGCTTTTGTGCTGTGAGGCATGTCTGCGTGACAATGGGAACAGCTTAAATGGAATAGTCATGCTGGGGGTGTTAAAAATGTATTTGTAGTTGTGTTTTACTGCTGCTTATAGTGGAGGAGGAAGTAATGTGGTAGGACAAATTGAAATTGCTGCTTATGTTATTGATACACTGCTTGAGACCAGTGTTCTACAAATAACCTTTTTTTCCATTTGTGTTCAGGAAAATTAGTGTCTGAAACAACAGAAACAGAGGTACCGAAAAAATGTTGGTGTAAATAGCTTAGAATTTTTGTATTCTCAAATGCAAAAGGAAGTATCTCTATACATTTCACTAAGTAAAATTCCCTATCCACCAGAATTGGTGTATGCTGTGTTGCAGTAACTCTACAAATCCTCTGCACCAGCGACTGTCAGGATTTCTCACTGATAAAACATTTACAAAACCATAAACATATGTAAAGACAAAAAAATCTCCCTCCTAATAGTTATCTGGGTCGCAGCATACTTCCTTCTGTGAGAGGCAGGCCACAGAAACATGCCAGTTTCCCTGAGTGGGTTTCAGGAAATAGTGATTCATATTCCCTTCTCTGCCCTCCTGTATGTAACACTGCAGTAGTAAATTATACCTCGAGCTTTGGGTTGGTATTTACATTATTGTGTTAGACACACTCCATATTCTTGCTACCATTCAGTTAGTTTCTTAGGAGGTTTGCATCTTTTGGTTTCTGGTTGGTTTTTGTTTTTGTTTTTGTTTTTTTTTTTGTGTCTCTGTGATAATGAGGGCTCTTCTTGATTAATTTTTTTTTTTTAGAGTAGCCAGAATTAGCAATTGTAAATAGAGTCAGCATTAAAAAAATTGTTGGGATAGAAGTAATGATGAATTTGCCAGTGGCAACTTTTATGCATGCAAGCATAGAGATTGATAGTTTGCAGAGATGACCTATGGCTTTGAGATTTGAAAGCTTGGACAAAATCATCAGGTTTATGACCTTTATGGAAAGAATATTCATCATGCCTATGCATATGGTGTTTTTAACTGCTAACTGCTTGGGTGAAGTACGATATGTACACTATGTTCAGTATGACTGCAATTTTAGAATGTTTCATCCTTGTAATATGTCCTGTATTCCTGCTTTGCAGGACTGAGGTGTGTTCTTCCCTCTAGTACCAGTATCTGTGGCAGAACTTAATGTGCAGTCATCGGTTCTGATCAATTTTCTGTCTGTGCTAATGTATCCACTTGAGAATCATGGCTTGGTACTAGATGGATACCCAAAAAGGCATCAGACTATAGCTGACTCTAATGGGAGGTTGATGATGAGATTACAGAGCGTGGGGGTGCTATCTCAGTAGCTGTTTTCTACAAACAATTGTCAGAAAAATGTAACCAGTGCAGAAAAAATTGTTAGTGCTATTGTATCTCCGTAGGAGGATTCACTTGGCAATGAGGATCCTTTGGTATATGCCTTTACTTTAACTCCTTTTTTCCTTTTAAAGTAGCAGTCTTGTGTTAAATCCAAGCGGATCTTAAACATCTATTTTTTTTTATTCTTAATTTATTTCTGCTAATAGAGGTAGACAAGCTGTGCTCCTGTAATGTGACAGCAGGATTATCTCTTTGAAGATGGTTTCACCCTCTCATGCAACCTATTGTTCTGAACTATTTTTTTAATCACAAATTATGTCTTTTGCAGTAGCATGATAAAGAAAACTACTTTTGTGGCTGCAGGAGTTGGTGTAAGTTTATTTGTGCAAATACTAGACAGTCTGATCTGTCAGCTTGCCTTTAACTGCAGTCACCATTTAGGTCTTGGTTGTGATTGTGTTAGTTGTCAGTAATTGTGTTTGCAGTCTCGGCTAGAGGCTGTGATGAAGAGTGCTTGGAACTGGGGCATTACACAGATAAAATCATGATGAAACAGCTGCAGCTTAATCATAATGAAGTATGTGTGGGCTTTAAGGGCTGCATATTCTGGAAATTTTTATTACACTTAATTCCCATGTTTAACCTTTTTAGGAAAAAAAAATCTCCCTACAATTAGAAAGAAATAGATGTAAGATTATAGTAGTAAATATTATAAAATAAATCTCATAACCTTTCTGTTTCAGGGAGGGAACATTTTGTTTGTCTTTGCCTGAGGTGAAACTGCTGGCAATTTTCTTAATTTTTCTGATCTTTTAGATGTCTAGACCTGACTGTCTGATGTTGCACCCCTTTCAGTTGAGGAACCCAGGGCAGTGTGTCTGTGCTATAAGTAGGTGCTAGGGCTCGGTGGCATCTAGCACTCCCTCTCTCAGAGGCTGGGCAGTCTGGGTGAGGTCCTCTGCATTTGGAAGTTAGAGGGGCATTTCAGTTTACTCTGGGATCGTAATCTTTCCCTTTGTGTTCTGAAAAACACAGAGGGCTGGGATCTTGAGTTAAATCTGAGTCTGTGGCATGTGGTATTTTGGGACATCCTCACAAATACTCAAACTGATTATTTTCTGTCAAAAGTAGTGTTTCTTCCTGATCTAGGCCAAGTAATGCGCTGATAGGTTAGCAAAATTAACACATATATTAAAAAAAAATAAATTTGGTATTGCATTGCCCAAACCACTAATTGCTTTAAATTGATGACAGACAAATCTGATTACCAAAGGCAACCTGCTCAAATTAAAAAATGAAAAGTGAGTAGCAGAAAAGAACAACAAAAACACATACAATTGTGAAGAAATCAAGTGTGGACACAGAAGATAAATTATCAACCATGGAAGCAGTTATTGCAGTTGCAGGCAATTGAAGTAATAAGGAAGATGGTTTAAGGATGGCCTTGAATTTCTAATTATTGAGGAAATAAGGAAGATGGTTTAAAGATGGCCTTGAATTTCTAATTATTGAGGAAATGGGATCTGGTAGGTCTGTTTCATACTGCTCTAATTCTACGACACAACTCCAGATGAGGTATTCCATGCAGTTCCTTTCTGTACGTAGAGCTATCTTCTTGAGTTTGCTTCATGTGGATATAAAATACCTCTGTGGAAGCACCTCCCTTATGTTAGGATAAATTTAAAAAAAAAAATAAATCTTGAGATGATATTAAACAAAATGTTATGGGTGATGGGTGTAGCTTGCTGTGGAGGAGTCAGTTCTCTTTTTCTCTTTTGGAGTCTGATGCTTCATTTGTGTCTGTGCCTAGGCAAACCGGGACGCAGTGATCAGCCGAGCCCCAGACCAGCAGGATGACCGAGCCGTCAGCCTCCAGGATGCCTCTGCAGTCTACGACCTCCTCAGCATCACACTGGGCAGAAGAGGGCAGTATGTGATGCTGTCTGAGGTACCTCCTCCGCACTCTGCCTCAGCTGCCCCTTGAAACGTGCTGGCAAAGCCCCTCTTTGCAGTAACTTGATGGGGAACATGAAAATGAAGCACACCAGTTGGCAATTAGTAGAAAAAGCTGCAGACCTGTGGCAGCACAGGCATGAAGTGCACACAGAACTTTTGAGATATTGACATGATTTGTGTGGGCACTTGAACAAAGTGGCTGCCATTTGAGGTGATGAGGTATGCTAGCAAGTCCCATTAACTGAGAAGAGGAAAGTGGTGTCTTAAAAAAAACCAACAAACCCCCGAAAAACACCTGGGTCCTGGGCCACGACAGATTGTTTCCTGACCCAAGCAGCAGTCTTGATGAAAGGTATAGTGAGGAAAATAAATAAAGAAAATTCTGATATTTCTCCTGTCATTTCTTTCTCAGTGCTTGGAGAGAGCCATGAAGTTTGCATTTGATGAGTTTCACCTCTGGTACCAGCTTGCCCTGTCCATGGTAGCTTGTGGAAAGGTAAGGTTCAAACTGAAGGACTTAGAAAGGGCACATTTTCCTCTGGCAGAGTGTATCTAGATTACTTGTTTGAATGTGCAAATCCATGTATTTTGTGAGAGTAGGGGCCATCAGGCAACTATGTTGAAGGACAGTGCTCTCCTTTTAGTCTCCGATTGCACTTTGTGGTCAGGTGCATGTATTTGGTATTGAGTAGTGTTCTTTCCATGTCATGTTTGTTTCTCATTATCAGGGAGAAAATGGGTTTCGTGCATCCGTGCAGGATGCTAAGTGTTATACAGCTGTCCGTTCTCTGCAGGTTCAACATAAATGTGCTTCGTATAAGAAAGAACTGATGTCTAAAACTCAACTCACTCTGTGTCTTTGGGCAGTTGACTTAAACTGCAGTTTCTCCATATGATCAAGGAAATGTTAATGTTTTGTCATAGAGAGCTTGCAAGGTTTAATATTTTTGAAATGCTCAGTACAAAATAAACTTTAGAAAAAGAAAGCATTTGTGAATATTGGAATGGTCATGTGTTTTAGTATAAGTGTTGTTTTAAAATTAGTATATTTGTCAAAGTTATCAGTAAACCATTGAGATGGCTGAAATCTGGTTGTGAAAGGTAGGCAGTGGCAGCAGGAGCTGGTTTTTTATTAGTGTTAAAAGAGTGGACTTACTGTAAGAAATGTAGATGGTACAAAATGTAACCTTCCTGGAGTCCCCACCTACACTTTTTAGAGGTATGACCGAATCGATGCTATGCATTGGTAGACCACTTAATGTGGTCATATATTCTGTGCCCATGCAGTGTACAGGAATCCATGGAGACCACCAACTAGCAGTCATCTGGCACATTGCAGGTACTACAGTCCTTTTATGCATATAAGCTGAGCTGGAAACAGTGGCTTTGGCATGGAAATGGGAGATGAATCTGCAGTGGTATGCTTTTGTAAAGAAATTGTCATCTTGTGATGTATAAGTGGCTGCAAAACTTTGAAGATGTCTGAAGGGATTCCTTGACTTCTGTGAACATAGGCAAGGCCTTATCTTGGAAGACTGTCAGTTGTTAAGCATTTTACTTCAAGAAAATGGCAGAAAACCAAGAGAAAGTCTAATAAAGAGCATCAAATATGGCTAAGGGTACAGTAAACAGGACTGTGGAGAGACTGAAATGATTAAGAGAAACAAGTCTTCAAGAGCTCTTAAAAGAAGGGGTTAATCTTGTTTGTGGTGGTTAGGACAAGATGTGATGGCTTCCAGTTGCAGCAACACAAATTCATGTGTCCTATTAAGAGGCAAAAAAGGATAGTGGAACACTGGAAGAAGATTACCCTGTGGAGGTTGTGTGGAGCCTGCATCATTGGGCATCTGTAGAACACCCTGGGCAAATATGTAGTGCCACCTCTGTGAGGCACCAGGGGTGTACTCGGTGGGACCGTGCACACTCTTGACTCTGTTGTGGAACTCTACAGTTGTCTCTTTTTGAATAGAGCAGATAGAGGTGATTTATGAGATACTAAAGCTTTGGCAACACATATTAGATCAGCAGGGAGCTGAAGGGAGATATTTAGACAGAAAGAACCTTGCAGATTCCTACAGAAGTTCAGTACAAGCATTTCAAAATCCAATTCCAAGTATGAAAACAATGGCTAGACTCAATCATGTATAAGGAAACCTGAAGCTACTAATGGAATACTTAAACAATGAGCTTGGTGACATGGTGCTAATACCTTGCACTGGTCTATGTCAGGTTGGGGGTTTACAAGTCATGTCCAGCTCTCCTTGGCATTCAGCTGGAGTTAGCACAGTCCTGCCCTCTGTGTCTTTCAAATCCTCCGGATACCTGATCTCTTGATATTGAGGACAACAATGACTACATAGGCTATGGTGGAAAGACACAGTATCTTCCCATAAACACAGGGCTTGTCTGGGAGCTTTATTGGCTTTTTATAAGTTGTGTGACCTGTTTCTCAACAACAGATAATGCTGTAGCTCTAGTAATCTGCTGGAGAGCAAATCTAGATTTTTAACTGCCAATGGTTGAGAGTGAGCGTATGCAGAGAATAATTGTGGTTCAGTCGTAGGTTAGTATGATGATTAGAAATGCAGCCTGATCTTTACCTTCTAATAACTTGTATGGCAATTCTGTCCCTGTCCCTATATGTTTGCGTACCTCTTCACCTTCCCTAGAAATTACTGAATATTTGGTACTTAAAAAAAAAAAAAAAAATGGCAACACAAGTATCCATCTCTATAACTGCCCTGTCTTTTCAGATTTTCAAGTATGTCATGTCTTTTTGCCTGTACTTTAAATATTTACAAGGTAAAATGTCCTAATCTTGTCTGTTGATGTAAAAGCTCTAAATGTTCTGAGCCCTATATAGGTCAGAGGGAATTCCCTTACCCAGCAGTCCCATCTGTGCAGTATTTCGCTTCTAATCCCAAAGTATTCCCTGAGGATTCCTGTTGTATACTCTGCAATGCGTCATCTTGCTAATGGGAAATGTGGCATACATTTTTATGTTGCTTTGGAGCTTGATAGCAGGACAGAGTTCATTTAAAAGTAAGTGCTCCAGCGTTGCAGAAAGAACTGATGAGAAAACAGTGTGGTCTGTCTAGACTGCAGAATGCAGAGTACACTTGAGCTTTTATAGGTGAAGATCTGTTTTCACCTGTCTCAGTCACAGCCAATTCCTGATCTCATTTCTTGGTAATGAAATCTCACATCCTGCAGCATTACTCGTTCGGCAGTACAGCAAATCATGCTCATAAATCCTGGGCACAACAGGAACAATTCTATCAAGCTGTAAATGCTGGAAACTTCGGTTTATCTTTTTTTTTTTTAATATGTTTTCAGGATTTTCACACTTTGACCTTCTTGAAAGTGCTGTAAAATCCTATCTTGCCTTCTATTCTACACTGAATTTAAATAGTGTTACTTTTATTTTGTTTATTCATCTTCAGATTAAGTCAATCGAGTCGAGTTTCAAAGTCGTTTAGTCCTCTGCCAGCCAAAAATTGCCAAATGATGGTTGTCATTTTTCACAAGTGATCAGTCTGAATGTCAAGCCAGTCACCTAGGCTCATTACTGCATGTAGGCTTGAGTTTACACATTATTCTGAAAAGCATGTGTCTTAACAAAAATAGGCACATCACTTCAGTAAGTTCCTGCAGGCCTTGGGGCTTCTAAAACAGTGAATGAAAAAACTCAGAGAAGCATAACCTTCCTGCCTGTCTTTTATCCATTTAAGTGGTGGATATAATGAAGTAACAGCAATTTCACTTCCCTGTGTTTCTCAGCAACTTGCATAATGAGAAAGATGCTGTGGTCTGGTTGTTTTTTAACCTGTTCTTAGAAATGCCTGTTATACTGAGCTGTATATTCTCTAAACAAAGAAGGCATGTATACTTAAATTACTGAAATCCACTATTACATTTGGAAGACTTATGTAGGCAATTTTAGATGAAATGCTGAGAAACCCTAGACAATGGCAAAGACATGGTGATAGTTGTCCTGTGTCACCAAGTGCAGTTCTGGATAGGCAAAAGAGGTTTAAATTAGTCTAATGCTGTACCCTTGTTCTTGTAGTGCTGGAAAACTGAATGCTGAGTTCTTCAAAGATGCTTTAAGTTGCTTCTGCTGGTAATAACCTTGGCAATGTGGTAATACAACAGCTAGAGGCTGAGTGGGCATAGCAGCTCTGCTGCCATGCATGGACAGGCTGGAGCCTGATTGGCGAGTGGTATGATAGCCGGATGCCATCTGGCAGAGTCCTCAGGCAGTGAGATGAGCCACTGTCCTGCTGCCAGAGTAAAATGAGTGCAGACAGTTGCATCTGTTTGTCTCAAGATTTTGAAAAAGTGACCAGTATTCAGCAGCATGGGGAAAGGAAGGACCAAACTCTCATTTACAGAGTAGAGATGACTTTGTAGTCTTGACAGTGGTGAAGAGAAAGAGAGCTGCTTGGGGCAGACTTGTTCTGTGCTGCTGCTTTCCAGCTAAACACTTTCCACTGGAGGTCATGCAGGTTGCCAGCACACAGCTCTCCTGCAGACTAGGGTAGCTCTACCGACATTTCTGAAGTTGGAGGCAAAATTGTCATAGTGTCTAGATGATGTATTACAAGCACAAGGGATGTGAAATAGGGTCCTTGTGCACTCACAAGCATTTCATTGGCCTTGGACCAGTTGGATCAGTTACATGTTCCTTGTTCAGATTTCTGTCCCCTTCCACACCTAATACCCTCACACAGGACCTAGCCTTGGTGTTCCAAAGTGTCCCTGGAGCTCTCTGGGAGTAGAGGCTCAGGAGTGCATCGTGAGTGGGCTCTAGGTTAAATTTATGGTATTTAAGAAAGTCTTCTAGATCTACACTGTGTCTTTTTTACCTGTCAAACTGCTTAAGGGAAAGATAAACTGTGAAAATATGTGCCTTCAACAACACGAGGCAACACCAATGCCTCTCTTTTACCTACTACCCAAGGAGATGAGATTTGTATTTAGTGACAATGATTTTCTGTTTTCCTAGGGGTAGTGAGGGAGAGATTCTTCAAGGATAGCTGTGAAATTATTCTGTGAACAATGAGTCTACTTTGTCTAAAAGTGCTGGGTGCCCTGACTGAACCATTCAACTCTCATGAGTCTTAATCTGTCATGTCCAGTGAATGTTTATTGTTGTTTGGTGTATGGAGTGCGTAGAAACATTTTCACGCTCACGTTTAATGTTTCTGCCCAAAAAAACCCCACAACACAACTTGGTTAGTGAATTAAGAGCTTTAGGATGTGTGTTTTTTGAGAGGAGGGGTGGGGAGCAATATAGCCTTAGCCAGCTGAAGGAAGCCTGGAGCATCTGCTAGGAGAGGATAATCTGCTTTTACCCCTCATACTGTATACTCCTTGAGGGGATGAAGTGCATCAAAAAGTGACTAAAGAAGAGCTCAGGAACAATTAAAGGGTCTGTGGGGAAAAGCCTCTGTGAGAGCTCAGTGGAGCTGGAAGCGGGTACCTGGAGGCAAG